TTTGAAATTATTATTATTATATTTTCAATTTGCATCGTACACCTGTAAAGTGCCAAGTACCTGTTTACTGGTGGATTTCACCGGACAAGTCGGGTATAGTCCAACAAATACCTTTTTAAAGTCACGTGATTTTTCTCTATCCTTGTTGAATACATCTCAAACAGCGGTGATAGTAAAATTGACAAAAAAATTGCTGTCTAATTATTGTTCATAATATTCTTACCTGAAATAGAATCCGTCACTGCCATCAATTAGTTTGTCAAAGTTATTTTCGAAAGTAATACAACGAACAAACACAGCTAAAAATTTTGACTATATTAACCTTTTTCCAACTCGAAAAGAAGCAAATAGAAAATGGGTACTCAGTTTAAGTTCAGAATGTATTACAACAGACAGCACATGCAACAAAAGTGAGTCTCGCAACAATTGCAAGTATTAAAATTGCCCTCTGATTGGTCAATACTACTTCAGAAACGCGTTTGTAAAATGCTAGTGGGAACATATATTAAAATTCAATAGTAATTAACCACCAGTAGCTTTTTGTAGGTGATATCAACGACATAATCAATGGACATACGTTTTTTGCCACCAGTATCACGTGACTTTAAAATGGTATTTGTCGGACTATATCAGTGTTGTCAAAATGGTCCAACAAACAATAACACAATATAACGCAAGTTGGCAAACCCAATAAAAAAACCCGCTGATTTTCTTTTTTTTTCTCTATGGTTCAACCACAGCATATACAAAAACAATCAGCAGGCTAACTCGAGTGACAGCCCGTGTAATAAAGGATCAATTCATGGTCGGGACGTCACAAGCGGCTATTTTGGGATACGAGACAGGGCCTGATTAACAATAATTTAGGATTTTTTCTTTCGTGTCACAGAGTCGTATTGGCTTTAAATAAACTAATTATTTTTTAATACTTACATATAATAATATTTATAATTGAACCCTATGCTGGAACAATGTTGTAAACGACAATGTGTAAAAACGGTATTTCCATGGAACAACGTTGTATTGTACCCTGGATAATTCGCTATAACTTAATGGGATAAAAGGATTTTTTTTTTTGATGAGTTGTTGATGCCATTTTAATTGGCCCAGTATGTCCTTTTTGTGGAACAACGTTTTAAGTATAGTCCAACAAATACCATTTTAAAGTCACGTGATTTTTCTCTATCCTTGTTGAATACATCTCAAACAGCGGTGATAGTAAAATTGACAAGAAAATTGCTGTCTAATTATTCTTCATAATATTCTTACCTGAAATAGAATCCGTCACTGTCATCAATTAGTTTGTCAAAGTTATTTTCGAAAATAATACAATGAACAAACACAGCTAATAATTTTGACTATATTAACCTTTTTCCAACTCGAAAAGAAGCAAATAGAAAACGGGTACCCAGTTTAAGTTCAGAATGTATTACAACAGACAGCAGATACGACAAAAGTGAGTCTCGCAACAATTGCAAGTATTAAAATTGCCCTCTGATTGGTTAATACTACTTCAGAAACGCGTTTGTAAAATGCTAGTGGGAACATATCCTAAAATTCAATAATAATTAATCACCAGTAGCATATTGTAGGTGATATGAACGACATAATCAATGGACATACGTTTTTTGCCACCGGTATCACGTGACTTTAAAATGGTAATTGTCGGACTTGACAACCTCGCCCTAGTTTCGCGTTTGTTTGGTATATTTGGCGTTTGAAACGTTGTTCCAGCATAGGGTTCAATTACTAATTTTGAATATAAAAGAATGATTACAGATAACACCATAAATGACAACATGAATATACTAAAAGTCAAAATGACATTCTGTTGGCAATACAATGTAAAATTGTCAATGCTTTCAAATTTTTTATGAAGAAAAGGCTTGTGTTGCCAACATAGTTACTAAATTTTTGACTTGGGGAATTATCTTGAAAAAAAAAACAGATTTTAGCTCAAATTTCGCTCTACACCGCACGCCTATGACCTCCGTCAGCAGTAAACAAATAAAATAAAATTTCGGCGCCCCTGCCTGCCGTTTAATGACAAGATGGTATCCCCTAATGGCGGCGTGCGCAGAAAAGATGCGCGTGAGAGTAAGCCTGCTGATTGTTTTTGTATATGCTGTGGTTCAACTCTATAGTTCAAACACAGCATATACAAAAACAATCAGCAGGCTAACTCTTACGCGCATCTTTTCTGCGCACGCCGCCATTAGGGGATACCATCCTGTCATTGAACGGCAGGGACGCCGACATTTTAATGTATTTGTTTATTTCTGACGGAGGTCATAGGCGAGCAATGTAGAGCGGAATTTTAGTTATGATTTACAACAGTATATTGTGTATTTAGGTGGAAAAGTGACACATTCTCGGCCGACGTTGTAAGTTGACAAACACCGAAGGCCGAGAATGTGCTTTTCCACCGAAATACACATACTATTTTTTCTGCGATCGGTTAAATACCTGTTAAATGTTTGTCTTTTAGTTCCAATTATTCAACAATACGAGAATCACTTTCCCGGCCTATTGTTAATCAGGTCCTGTCTCGTATCCCAAAATGGCCGCTAGCGACATCCCGACCATAATAGTATATTATGATATAAGTGTATAAGAGGGCATTTAAAGCACGCGCGACATATTTCAAAACACGACGCGCAGCGGAGTGTTTTGTAAGTCGCAAGGGCTTTAAATGCTCTTATACACGCATATCATACGCTATTTTTTATTACGAATGCATCATAATCTCAAAAATGGTTTAAATGTGTTCTTTAATTTTGGGAAATAGTAATTTACACGGCAGGTAAATATGTAGGTGATAAAGGTAGATCAAACGTTTCTATAGCAAACCTTTGAAAAGGTAGGCGCATCATAAACATCGTTTTATGCACGCTGCAGCGTGCGATAATCGTTGATTATGATGCATGCGTAATGAAAATTCCTTTATTACACGGGCTGTCACTCAAGTTAGCCTGCTGATTGTTTTTGTATATGCTGTGGTTCAAATGTTAAATTGGTTGCTAACAGAAACAATGCAATTTGTTGACTTTCTGTAAAATTAAAAAGTGCCGAGAAAATGGATGCATCCTCAGCGATCGCAGCTATTTTAGAAAAAAGCACCGGAGAAACTGGAAAATTGATTCCCGTTAAATCTTCAGGGCGGTATAATACAAGAAAGAATACAACATATTCAGCGAGTGGCGTACAACTTATTTTTTCTACAACTGTCAAAAAATGATGATGTTCGCACACTCATGACAGTTTGCGAAGTGACACTTTTTTTCCCAGGTATTGATTTTTTAACGTTCCTTTTTTTTCCGTTCCGTTTTAACGTTTTAACGTAACTATTAACATAGACAAAACGGTAAATGAGGATATAATGCTCGCCTTCCTGTTAGTAGGTAAGAATTTTCAATTTGAATGGTTATTTTTAGTCGAAGAAATCGAACAGTTTCAGGGCCGGCTCTACCATAAGGCGAACGGAGCGAGCGCTCGAGGCGCCAGACCTCGGGGGGCGCCACCGATTCGTTCCTTGGTGATAAAAAAAAGAGAAAAATATATTTTTGCTTTGAATTCTGTCTTCGCTTTTCGATATTCTGCTATCTGAGCCGTTTTCCTATGGGAATGTGTCGCTGGGAGCTACTCGGAGCGGTGAGCTATACGTACGGACAAACGTCACACGTCATGACGGTGTGACATGTGAAATCTAGTGCGTGGCGTTCCTGGGGTGCTCTAAGGGCGGGTATTATAAAACTGCTTTGGCAGTTAACTTGAAGTCAACTTGTAATAGACCTATCTCGCGTGATTAGAAAAAGAGAGCTAATTCTAATAAATACAAGTTAGAAAGCAATAAAAGATGACATGCGCGCGCAACTTGTAGGCTGCAGTGTAGCCAGATTGTATTGTTGCAGAACACATACAGGGTGTATATTTTAAGTGATACCACTATTGCTATATCCGAAATGGTAAGAGCTACAGGGTCGGTTAAATTAGAAAAAAGTTGCCTTATTTGATGCCCATTTAAGACTCGTTTACAGTGTTGCCAAATTCCTTTTAGTTTATGAAATACAGGGTGATTTCTAAGAAACGTCCAAAAATATTTCATCACTTATTTCGAAAACTATTGATTTTCGAGACACAATTTAAATTTGAAAGTTTTATAATTTTTTCCGCTCTACAACATGACATCTTCAAATTTTAAATCCGACGTTTCGTGATCAAGATACCTTCATCAACTTTAATTTTTTAAATACGGACCTGAATTTTTTATGTCATTTTTAGGAAGCGCCCTTAATTCTCTTCCCAAAAATGACATAAAAAATCCAGGTCCGTATTTAAAAAAAATAAGTTGATGATGGTAGCTCGATCACGAAACGTCGGATTTAAAATTTGATGATGCCATGTTGTAGAGCGAAAAAAATTATAAAACCTTCAAATTTAAATTGTGTCTCGAATATCAATAGTTTTCAAAATAATTGATGAAATAATTTTAGGCCTTTTTTATAAATCTCCCTGTATTTCATAAACTAAAAGGACTATGGCAACACTGTAAACAAGTCTTGAATGAGTATCAAAAAAGGCAATTTTTTTAATTTAACCGACCTTGTAGCTCTTACCGTTTCGGATATAGCCATAGTGGTATCACTTAAAATATACACCGTGTATAGACAATACAAATCGAACATTATAACATTAAAGAAGTGATATAGTGTCAAATATTTTACAACGCCTTAAATCAAACAAAAGAAGAGCGTTAAAGTGGATAAACATCGTTTGCACTTTTATTTTGATAAATGTTTCATCCGGCAACATTGCTCAATGAAATTGCAAAGAAATATGTCAAGTATTTTAATAAATTTCAAAACGCAACTGCCTATCTCGCAGGTTCCTCGAGAAGCTATGGCCTCATGCCACATGTAACAATATCCCTGTTTTTTTGCAGCCTCGTAGACTGTTAAATTGTATGTAGCTATTTTTGACTTGTAATACGCCTGACCAACCTCTATCTTGGGGCATTGTAACACTTGTTGAAGATCAAAAATTGCCAGACAAAAACTGTTATCTGCAGAAGCTTTTAGCTTGTCATCATCTTTCTTCTTCCGCATTGCTTCTTTATTTAATAGGTGACTTTCGACGAGAAGTTTCAACTCAACTTTCTCGGCATCATTTGAGTTTTGATAATTGACGCATAGATCGCACTGATCCTTCTTTGGAATATGAAATCCTATATTAAATTTATTCACAAATATCCAGCGATACATTGACTCACGAACTATGTCTTTCTTATCAACTTTGTTTTCCTTACAATAATCCATATACAGTCTGAACATTTTTGAAATATTCAATGACCCAGGTAAATATTTCTTTGAAGAGTCTTTTCTAGTATAATGACTTTCGACGGCTTCAAATGAATTTATGTGATCCTTTACTAGAAAATCTTGTCGCTGACTTATACGGGTTTTTGTTATGTTATTTCTTCCCCTATTATCTCCATCTATGGTAACCACATTGTTTTCTGATATATTGAGCTTCGCTGCTACGGTCTTTACAACTTGGTGACTTATTCCAAGTGTATTGAGGAAAAACGTTTGACAGACTTTTTCTCTTTCTCCTTCCTCTGAAGACAAATGGTAAAAGTAAGTCATTTTTCTACGACTATTATCACCCACATTCACGTCATTATCTTCATCACTAATATCCTCTTGTCTTTGGACATTCTGGTTTCGACGAAGACGTTGTCGATTTTTTTTTCTAAAATCAACAAACCTTAGAATAAAATCTCGTTGGCGATTAACGTCTCCCAGTGCCCAATATTCAGAAAAAATGGAAAGTCGCATGTCTTTTGATATTTTATTCACACATTTCAGTCTGCAGGTATTTTTACAAGCCGCTTTCAATTTTCTCTCTGGTACCATTTCATTTTTAGTGTTTGTATATGTTTGTCCCAAATTTCTTCGTTTTTTCATCTCATTTCTTTTCCAGGCATTCACTTTCCGTTTCCTTTTCCTTGACTTCGGTGGTTCGAGTTCTTCGCCATCAGCAATTGTTTGGTTTTCCTCTTCAGATGATATGATTTCATTGTTATCATCTTCACTTGACATTGAAAAATAGTTTACAAGAGAGCGATTATTGTTTCTTGTATCATCAGTATCAGGTATATAATCCGAATCCGAGTCGGTAGAAAAAGGATTATCACGTTCCAATGACGAAGTTGTGGAATCGTCATCTAAAAAAAAAAACAAGTCGTCTCCTAAACTATCAAAATATCTCTATTGAAAGTAACCCAGTAAGTCCAATGGTAGGTACCATTATTAAAAAAAGTTTCCGGAGTAATAGTTGAATTACTCACCTTCAATTGTATTTTTTTTCCATAGGAATGTTCATTAACTCAGTCATTTCTGGGATAATCAAGGCACTTTTTCCCCTGTTGTGCTCAGGAGATGGGGTTGTGTCATTGACTGCAAAAACAATCACTATTTTAGCAAAGAAATATTTTCTCTGGAAGAGAGTAAATGAGTAGGTAAGCTAGAGCCTACCTTCTATTGTATCTCTTTCAATAGGAACGTTTTTCAACTCGGTCAGTTCAGGGTAATTTGAGGAATTTTCTGCATTGCCCTGTCCTGCTGCAGGTTCAATATTTTCCACAATGACGTCGACTTTAGTGCAGTGATGTTCGTTTTCTAGTCCTACACTGATTATATTGCTCACTAAATCTAAAAAATTCAAGTCTTAAAGAGTTTTTGAGATATGAAAATTTATTTACAACCATATTATGCTCAGTAACTGTTATTAAAATATGTATATGCTTTCGATCTTACCTGGCGGTCTATCGGAACTTATAGGTGTTTGTAACATACCCATTATTTTTTTGGCTCTTGTGTTCATGTTGTATACACCTTGTCAAAACACAGAATTCTTAACAAATCTGAAGTAAACAAAACAACACTGAGATAATAATTATTTGGCTGGTCTGGAAGTCTGGAGCGTTGGAAGTGGTTCTCAGCTGTTTACGCGGGAAAAAAGTGACAAGTCTCGAAATTCTCTGTACATTATTTATATGGTTTTGCTTAGTCCATACTATCCTAAGTCAACCATTTGTTAAGTGCATACTATCCTAAGTCCAATTTTGGACATAGGCTAGTTTACATTAATGGAGAAATTCTGCTCCGTTGTTAGGATACTTTGTATTCTATAAATTTTAAAGGCGGGAAATTTAAAAATTCTGACTTAGGATAGTTTAACAGTAAAATATTGGTCTTTTTCACAACTATCACTCATAACCCATTTCTTGGGAAAAAATGGACTTAGGATAGTTTTGCACCAAACCGACGGTATAATCTAACATAACCTTAAACGAAACTGCGGTGAGTTCAAGTAATATGTGAAGTATGAGTTTGCTCTTTGTCAAAATACACGTTACAATGAAAGAAGGAACGATTCATTCTGAACTGGACCCTGAATAAGAATATGACGCAAGCCTGTCACAAACTTGCTTCTCATTGGACGCTCACCTGCAGCCTACAAGCGACGCGCGCAGTCCAGGTAATAGGAGATCGGTCTATTCCAGAAGTTAACTTTAAGTTGACTTTCAAAGTAGTTTTATAATACCCGCCCTAAGGGCCATATTCTCCGTAGTTCATAAAGCCTGGCTTGGTGGAAAAGCTCGGCTTTGTCACACAAAAAGCCAAGTGTTCCCACTAAAGCAGGCTTTATAAACTACTGAGAATATAGCCAATGTGCATACTGATGGAAAGCAGCTCTGCGATTCTGCTTGCGAGCAAGCGTGTAGTTAGTATGTGAATCCCACTTAAATAACCTGTTGCGACGTTGTTTTATGACGCGCAGAAGTCGTGTGCGTGGCTTCGCCCCTACATGAGCAATGATCATAATCATAATATTTCGGGATTACAACTTTTAAGGCCCGGTTTATTGATGTCCAAGAAGAATTTGCTGTTAACTGTCTACAAGATAAATTCACCGATCTAATTCTATTGGTCGATGGATAACGCGGACCAACAGGATTGCAGATTGCGTTTTTGCTCGTCAGATTGCATTACCTGACAGTTTATAAAAGAATGAATGAACCGGCCCTGAAGAAAAACATCTGTGGTCGAAGAAGCTCTCAGTACTCCAGAACTTGGCATTGAATAATTGGCAATATACGTTTCCTGATATCTAGACAGCTCTCGACTCGAGCTCTACATATTTTTGTAGCCATTCTTGTGGCGGAAGGGTGAACGGAGCTTAAGTAAGCTTACCACTCAAACTTAACATAACTAAAACGTACCTTAAGTCAATTCTAGCAGAAAACATACTTTCTGATCTAGCCCTGCTGTCCATTGAAACTCATATAGCACAGAATTGTTATATGAGGCGATTATAAACAAATTTGCAAATACAAAAATGAGCAAACAGCGATTCACCTACAATTTTGTATTTTGCTGGTTCGATTTTTATATTTATAAGAGCCGGTTTATTCACGTTCTAACAAACTGTCAGGTACCATCGTCACCAACAGTAACTGGGACAGCATCACATTAGCTCTTGTCCTATTATATAAATTTTATGTCAAATATTTGTCAAACTATGAATTGAATGCATTGGAATGAATGACAGTAGAATTAGTCCAGGAGATTATTATGCATTATTTGTGTCCCAGATACTTTTCGTGACGATGGTACCTAATGCAATCTGATGGACAAAAACTCTATCTGCAATTCCATTAGTCAACTATACCATTTCCAGGATTATTTCACACTAGTGAAATTTGATTTCAAATTAATGAAAACTAAATTCACATCAGTGAAATCTGATTTCGCTCAAATGAAAATTGATTTCAAAGTAACGAAATCTAATTTCTCACAAACGAAATTTGGTTTCACATTTTTGAAAATGAATTTCAAACTGACCCTAATTAATACTTATTTTTCAAATATTTATTATTTCAATTTGAAAAAAACATCAACAACATTATTTATTTCAACCTAATGAAATAAACCCACTGAGTTTAGAAAAGTGTGGTTTAGATAACATAAAATACAATCATGAAACAATAATAATAATTATGAATTATTTAAATAAATTAAACTTCAATTTGGCAAATGACGTGGAAAGGCAGCTATCTTAAGAGTGAGAAGATTCAACTGAAGTTCAATTTATTTAAATAATTTATAACTATTATTGTTAATTGTTCATGATTGTATTTTATCTAAGTGTAGTTCGTGTCCTATCGGTATCCAATGAAGGGGGTGATTCGTCGGTTAGGACAAAAAAAATTATAAAAAATTTGTCTTTTTACAATTTTATCAATATATTGTGATTTTGTTATGTGCAATTGAATGTTCCATCCTGAAAAATCTCGCACTATTTTATATAATTCTAGCCACATAATTTTTTAAGTACAAGGCATGTAAACTTCAGTTTTTTGTTAGCACTTTTTTGATGTTCCTGATATATATTTTAGCCCTGATGAAGCCCTAAACTTTTGGGCAAAACGTTGGCAAAGACTTAACAGGCCTTTTATGTTTTTTTTTTGTCCTAACCGACGAATCACCCCCTTCATTGTATTTTATGTTATGTGAACTCAGTGGATTTATTTCATTAGGGTGAAATAATAGTTATTTATGATATAAGTGCTAAAAGTGACATTTTATTTTGTGAAAAGGAAAGTTTGGAACACGACGCCGAAGGCGGAGTGTTCCATCCCTTTGAACAAAATAATATCACTTTTAGCACGAATATCATACACTATTTTTTCTACAAACGCACTAAAAGTGATTACTTTTAGCATTCAGTGCTAATAGTTATTTGTGTACCAAGGCCGTAAAGTTGATCTTTTTTGGCCGAATCAGAAATTTGCGGCCGAGGCGCAGCCGAGGTCAAGCAAATTTCAGGTGAGGCCAAAAAAGATCATTCGGCCGAGGTGCACACAAAATTTTTTAGGCGAGTGTTTGTTCTTGAAAAAAGAATAAAATTCAACAGTAGCTTTAAACTTTATTGATCAAATAAATAATCCAGCAAAGATAGGTAGATACACAATTAATAATAACAAAAACTACGATAAAGAGAGTGTGATTATAGAAAAAATTGTTTATTTTCACCAAAGTAGCGGCCGTAAAGTAGAAGCGGCCGTGAAGTAAAAGCGGCCGTGAAGTAAAAGCGGCCGTGAAGTAAAAGCGGCCGTAAAGTAATAAAGCAAATGCGGCCGTGAAGTGAATGCGGCCGTAAAGTAAATGCGGCCAAAAAAGATATACTTTAGGGATGATATTGAATCCGTAAAACTAATCTTTTTGTGACAGTCGCCTAAAAAAGTAATTACTTTTAGCACCAGTGTCATAAAATGGCATTTTAGACACTGACAACATCCGTTAAAAATGACACTTTTAGTGACGTTTGTAGAAAAATAACATTTTTCTCCAAACGTCAAAAAAACATCACTTTGTCAACACCTGTCAAGATGGTAGAAATTCAATTTCTATGTTGCTAGGCAAATCCAGGAGGTTAACACCTGTCGAGGTGATAGAAATTTAATTTCTATGCTGCTTGGCAACCCCAGCGGCAGCAAAAGTACTTTTAGTGCCGCTCGTACTTTTACTGCCGCTCAACCATCCAGTTACCCCCGAGCTTACCACATTCGTTTGGAGAAAAAATAGCGTGTTGCATACGGAGTAGAAGCACTTTCTTGTGCTTCAGCAGTATTGCAAGCCTCACTACAGTCGCCTAAAAAAGTAATTACTTTTAGCACCAGTGTCATAAAATGGCATTTTAGACACTGACAACATCCGTTAAAAATGACACTTTTAGTGACGTTTGTAGAAAAATAACATTTTTCTCCAAACGTCAAAAAAACATCACTTTGTCAACACCTGTCAAGATGGTAGAAATTCAATTTCTATGTTGCTAGGCAAATCCAGGAGGTTAACACCTGTCGAGGTGATAGAAATTTAATTTCTATGCTGCTTGGCAACCCCAGCGGCAGCAAAAGTACTTTTAGTGCCGCTCGTACTTTTACTGCCGCTCAACCATCCAGTTACCCCCGAGCTTACCACATTCGTTTGGAGAAAAAATAGCGTGTTGCATACGGAGTAGAAGCACTTTCTTGTGCTTCAGCAGTATTGCAAGCCTCACTACGTTCGGCTCGCAAACCCACTGCTTCAGCACAAAAAAGTAAAGCTTCTACTCCTAATACAACAATATACTATTGTTAATGTTTTTTTCAAGTTAAAATAATACATGTTTGAAAAATTACTATTAATTAGGGTCAGCTTGAAATTCATTTTCAAAAATGTGAAATCAAATTTCGTTTGTGAGAAATTAGTTTTCGTTACTATGAAATCAATTTTCATTTGAGCGAAATTAGATTTCACTGATGTGAATTTAGTTTTCATTAATTTGAAATCAAATTTCACTAGTGTGAAATAATGCTGGAAATGGTATAGTTATTTGCCGACCAATAGATTATCTATATATTATATAAACGTGAAATTCACTCACTCACTGACTGACTGAATAAACACGAAATCTCGAAAACTACTGAACCAATCGAGATGAAATTTTGCAAACAGGTAGGTAATAGGTTGGAGATGCTCACTAAGAAATAATATCAACATGGCCTTAAGCAATCGCCTTAAATAACCAAAAATAAGAAACGGCGTGGTGCGGGGAAAAAAATGTAAACAGAAACAGAAACAGACGACGTGTCAGCTGTCAAATTTAGAAATATGACAAGCAGAATCAAACTCATAGCGATTTCCATTTGCAGAATCAGTGCAAAAAAAAATGTGTTTTTGTCGTTTTATTTTCATGCTTTCACCAGAAACGATTCGGAAGCGATTCTGAACAAATTCCACCGGTCCCAGGCTAAGCTAACTTCAAGTTTGAGACATGACATTCGCAATTCGTTCATGTATTCGACAGTCTGGAGCAAGGTTCTGGAGTTTTTGTTCGGTTCCAAAACTGTTCGCGATAAAATAGGAACCTGAACCCATTCACAAGTTGGGTTCGGGTGGCTCACTCCGAGTTACTCCGATCGCACTCCAGCCGTTATCTGATAAGCTAAAAGGTAATATCCGAACGGCTGAAGTGCGAACGGAATCACTCAGAGTGCACAGAGTGAGCAAGCCGAACCCAGCTATAACTGGGCATGCGCTCTACGATAGTCCTCAATTAGTTCCGGACTGGTTCGGAATCGGTTCAAAATATGATCCGCGAACAAAGCTATTAGCAGCGAGTGGCACTTCAAAAAAATTTAACGTCAGCTGTCAAAAAAACTATTTTTTGAAGACTACTTCATATTCTGCAGCCACAAAGCAGAACAAAAAATGTGGTTTACAGAGAGGTGCTGCAAAAATAAGAGTTACATGACCATATGTCTGACGCAACTATCCCCTTAGCTCTTTGAAAGAAGATTACCTAATGCTACCTACGCCCTACACCTACAAAATTTGTATAGGGCGTGCGAAGCCGCGGGCAACAGCTAGTAGGTCGATAAATCTATCTTGCAGATAGTTAAGAGCAAGTTTATATGAAGATCAATAAATCGGACCTGAGTGTTGATAAGTGATATTACCGTAGAAATTTCCATTATTTGTGTGTCTACTTTAAATCAACTCTTAAAAGGAAAAGAGTAGGTATAGACGGTATAGTTAGAACCAACCAAAAAGAGCCCCTGACGTCATCACTGACGAAGAAGGCAAATTTTTTAGAGGCCCTCCCATTTGAAGTGAGACAAAAGATCACACGGTGGCTTCTTCTTAGTTGGTTTTGTCTATACCAATGAACATGGATGTTTTTAGATTTCAATTGATAAGATAGTTAGAGACATCTAGGTATCACAATGGTCAAAATCCATATGCAGAAGATTCACATTTGAATTGGGGGCGCCAAAGTCGGATCTCGCTCCACAGTTCCACACTATGGACCAAATACTCGATGCTGAAATCCATGCTGATAGTCAATGAAAACGTCGACATCTTAAAATTTCCGAAAGTTATAGCCTTCCTGAAAAAAGAATCCATTGGTCATCGACCCAACCAATCCAAGGTTTTAACAAGGGAAGAAGTCGACAGATTCATGCAAGTTGCGCCAACGGAGACATTTTTATTGATAAAGGTTAGCTTTTTCAGCTTTTATTTAACGTTATAAGTAATTTTCACTATCTATAATAAGTACCTATGTGTCATAATAGTATGTGTCATAAGTATTCTGTATTGTTTCAGGTAATAGCACTGCTTGGCATCTGTGGAGGGTGTAGGAGGGACGAACTCTACAAACTGAATAAAGAGGACCATAGAGGATACAGGGTCCCAGTTGATTGTAAGCATTAACCAGACCAAAACATACGTGAAAAGGGTGTTCACAGTAATAGGAGAAAATTTTTTAAAAACTTTTCGTCACTATCGCAGTCTGCGTCCCAAAAACCTACCAGAAAAGGCATTTTTCGTATGTTATAGAAAAGGCAAATGTATAGGCCAAAGAGTGGCGAAAAATTGCCGAATTTCTGAATCTGGATAGTCCTGAAAAATACACAGGGCATTGTTTTAGACGGACGTCTGCAACCCTTCTAGCCAACGCTGGGGCCGACATTGAAGCTCAAACTCACAGTCGAGATTCCGTTTGCGTTTGCATCTATGGGATTTCTGATATTAGTGCAGCGAAATAGGGTGAAAAATGTTTCAATTCTTTTTTTTGAAGTAAAACCAGATTAAACCTTTATGATATCATTAGATGCGTCATTGGACATACGGAATGGCCGACTTTTGACTTTTTTTAACGGTACCGATTTTTTCTAGATCGAAAAATATGTAAAATTTGTGAAAATAATTGTTTTGTACTTTTTTACACATAACTGGCAATATCTCGGAAACTAATTGAGATAATTAAACAATTTTTTTTTTAATCGATGGAGGAAACATGAGCGAACGTAACTGTGCTAATTTGGTTTCCTCGAAATACATAGTTTTTTCTGCATATTGGAAGGAAACTCGCACAGGAGGCGCGTCAAGGGAGAAGGGTAGCGAGGCCAGAGATATTTTCAACTTCAAGTACCGATAACTTGAACAGTAGGTATCGTATCGTACTGCGATTTAAAAAAAAACTTTCTCGGAGCTTTAGCTTTAATTCATACGCAGATAGTATGGCAAAACTCCTTAAAACATAAAAGTTTCTCGATTACCGAAAAAAGTGCTGCAGAAAACTATCTGTTCGAGTTTCCTGCCAATATGCAGAAAAAACTATGTATTTCGAGGAAACCGAATTAGCACAGTTACGTTTGTTCACATTTTCTCCATCGATTAAAAAAAATTGTTCAATTATCTCAATTAGTTTCTGAGATATTGCAAGTTATGTGTAAAAAAGTACGAAACAATTATTTTCACAAATTTTACATATTTTTTGATTTAGAAGTAATCGGTACCGTTAAAAAAAGTTGAAAATAGCCATTTCGGATGTCCAATGACGTATCTAATGATGTAATAAAGGTTTCATTTGGTTATACCCCAAAAAAAAAAAATGCATGAAGGAAGCGACTTTTTCCTGCACTATATTCACTTGGTAACGGCGTGCTAAACGCAAACTTTAATGCTCGACGGTGAGTTTATAAATTGGGCTTAATGTTTTAAAACGTCACGGTGGATGGAAGAGCAGCAGTGTGGCGGAAAAATATGTAGAGGAGTCTTTGCAAACAAAAACAAACGTGGCCAGAATGATTCAAGGAGGAGAAACTTTCGTGGAAGTTCTTCAAAGTCATCAATCTTCCCAACTGGTAACCAAAGAACGCGAAGATCAATCTGCTCCTGCCGCTTTGGAAATATCCGATAATTCCAATTGCAGTATAACTGTTTATGTTTATAAGTAGGTATAGGTAGTTTCTTTTTTGTATATAGGTACATAATATTGTTATAAATAAAATATTTTTTAAAAATAGGCCTTGTCTTTGTAAAATTGCAAATTTTCGATTTCAGTCCGGGAAAATGATTTCCCGGACTAGTGATGTAATGTACCATTTCCCGGACTGAAATCGATAACGTAATGGAGTATATTACAATACAGTATGAAATAAATAATCATTTATGGTATAAAACTATTGATAAAACTCTTTAAAGATGTGGTACAGTACAAAAAGCTTATAGCTCTCTTGAAGAGAAAAAACGTTTTTTTTTTTTTTTTCGAAAAAATTTGAAATTTTTGAGAAGCATGATGTCAGTGTGGTTTGAGTTTGAAATAGTATCCATTTTAAACTAAATTTATAGTTATCTACGGCATTTTACATATATTTTGAAAAAATCTCACTTTAGGTATGGTCATGGCTAAACCAGGTACAGTCAAAAGTTACGATCAAGTCGAAAGCCAAGTGTATGTCTTGAATAAAGAAGAAGGTGGAAGATCGAAACCCTTCACTTCTTTCATCCAACTGCAAATGTTCTGTAGGACTTGGGATTGTGCTGTGCAGGTTGTGGTTCCAAACAAGGAGATGGTTATGCCGGGTGAAGATTCTAAGTGAGTACACTGTAGTGAGTAGGTACATACAAAATAGTTTTTTGAGATAGGCATACAAAACTCTATACAGGCACCACATGATACTCAATCAACATAAAAATTTTAATGGTTTATTGAAGAAAACAGCTTATTGTATATTTTCAGATATAGGGTGATAACTAAAAGTGGGTACACCCTATAATTATTGTACTGATATTTTATTTGAAAAACTTTTTTATTTTCAAAAATGACTTCAAAACCACATTCCAAGTGTATGTACTTACACACAATCATTTTTATAATAGATTCTCACAAACACATAGATTCTCAATTTTTATAGGCCGAGAGCTTATGATAATTAGAACTGAAGAAATGTATCTTTAGTTTTAGTTATTTAGCGATCTTTTGTTATTTCAGGACATTCCTATTCCTTAGTCATCCCATTTTTTTTGTGTTGTCTAGTTCCATCGATTTTTAAGGATTCAACTTCATTAAAAATTTCTAAGGTTATCGAATAGAATTTCTGGAATGTATGTTGTCATACAGGGTGTCCACGTCAAATATAGTATTGGGGGGGGGGGGGGGGGGGGGGGGCATGTTATGACATATACCTGCGTTTCTCTCCCTTCATCTCCCTACCCTCCAGAGCCACCCCATAATTTTTTTAAAATGGGATGAGGGATTGAATGATGCCTTGATTTAAAGGTAATTTTATTCTCTACATGAACCTGTTTTTGTTTTTTTATTTTCATCGATTCGTTCTTAAGAAATATGGATGAACGAGTCTGAATATTAATTTTATCAAAGAAAATCAAAAGTTTACAAATATTTCATTAAATGTTGAAAATGTTCTCCCCTGACCTCCATACAGAAATAAAATTGGTTTTTGGAAGGCTCCATAAGAAAAAATCCAACGGCGTAAGATCGAGAGATCTAGCAAGCCTACCATAAACTGAATTACTTGAACAAGATGATAACCTTCTAGAAAATTAATTGATGTTTCAGCAAGATGGGGCAACTCGATCATCCTTATTTCTTAAGAACGAACCGATAAAAAAAAAACAAAAACAGAGTCATGTGTGGTCTCCCGTCTCCGTCTCCCCATTAAAAAAAAAAATCATAAGGGGGCTCTGGAGGGTAGGAGAATGAAAGGAGAGAAACGCAGGTATATGTCATAACATGCCCCTTCAATATTAAATTTGACGAGTCCGCAAGAAAACTTATTTTCAAAGGTTTTCAGGGTGGACTGTTTTCCCTGGGACACCCTGTATATAATAAATTATAAGTTTATGACGAATACGGTCATCCTCAGTTTGATGCTAGAAATTTAGAGTATCTACTTCAACGTGAAATAATTTTGTTTTATGTCTTAAGATTAGTTTTGAAAATGATGAGACCCATGGTCCTCGAACAGGGACAGAGATTCACCCTCAGGGACGGTTCAATGACCTTGGGAACCGGAGTAGTAACCAAAGTGTTGCCTTTAATGAAGGAAGAGGAGAGGCTATCGCTCACGGAAGGTAAAAAAGCCAGAGAAAAGAAATCCGCCAAGCAGTGAAGCAAAAACTAATATTGTGAATTTATTTTAATGTTTATGTTCAATATATTTAATTAACCGATGTTTTATAGAATTTAATCGGAATATTTTCCATATACATGCAGTGTGTCCGGAAAGTCAACGATAATACTGAGAGGGTTGCTAAAACAACTAATGAGTATTGAAATGATGAAGGTCTATCACTTATTTGGGTTGCCCTACAGCTGCTCAGACAAAGGTATAAGAGGCAATGGGCGTGGGTTATCTTTATTTGCTGTTGTGTTTATTGGGCACCAGGCCTACAATAGGCCAATTGAAATAAAACCAAAAATGTAAAATAATGTAAATAACTATTTATTTAAATAGAATTTATTTAGATAGAATTAATTCATTAATTCACCGGCCATTAATTAATTCAAGCAATCAATTGAAAGCAATTTGCATTTAATTGCAAAATACACAATAATCAGGATTAGCAACAATGCACGATGGAAACCAAGGTCGGCTTACAAGTCACTAACCTACTTTATTACATAAAACGTAAAATACAAAGTTTAAATTCTTACACTCAATAGGTTTCTTGCATGAATTTTTTTAATTTGCTTATTGGAAAGAGGAGTCAAAATTAAGCTCGACTATATTTTTTTCCGATTTTTTTCGGACTTGCAAAGCGTCTAACTTTCGATTTGAAGTTCACGGCACCAAATTTCTGATTGGTTAGTTTTAGCCAGTGTTGCCCAGATGTTATGATTTTCATGTAAACTTTTCCTGGCGGAGACAACTAAATTGATATATCGAATCCACAGATTTGTAATCATCGGACGGAATATTGAATCGACTCTCATTCCTATAAAAAACTTAACCCAACTTTTTAATTCATATAGGTATTCATTATAATCATTATTTATTTTTATTTATTAGCCTGTCTAAAACTCCAAAACAGGCAGAAGGCAGTGAAGGCACACAAACGATCAAGAAACAAACCATCCCACTAAACCTGTAATGTTGCAAAATTTGTCAGCAATATTGTATCGACCTTACTTTAGAAAATTTATTACGTAATGTGACGTTAAGCTTTCTATTTCATATTACTTATCCAATGTTAAGGGATATAAATTTGATATAACTTCAATAGAGAAACATTCGTTTTAGTTAACAAGTAAATGTTGCAGTAGATACAATAATGTATTACATTTGAAACATTATAAAATGTAAGTAAAGCAAATATTATAACAATGTTGGCTGCTGACACTCTACAAAGCCCAGATTCGACCAACTATGGAGTACTGCTCACATATATGGAGTGCAGCACCCAAACATACCTTAATGCTTTTGAACACCGTGCAAAAACGAGCTATCAAGCTGATCAATGACCCCGCACTTACTCGTAACATCATCAGAATTCATATCTCTGGAGAACAGCATCGCTGTGGAATAAACTCCCTGCGACGGTTTTCCCTGCAGGTTACAACCTGAACCGTTTCAAGACCAACATACACCGACATTTCCGCGCACTTGCCGCTTCTCGAGCGTGATAGGACATTTCCTTGCGAGTGCGCATATCCGTAAAAAAAAAAAAAACAATGTTATGAAATGTAACTTTTCTCAACTCTATCGCTTTAATGTTGCGGAAATATTTACGTTTGTAACATTGAAAATATATAAAAAAATAAATGATTGCATAAATATTATAAGCTCAACTTTTCTTAAAACTGTCGCTGTAATGATGCAGACACCTTCACATGCGTACGTTAACAGTTTCAAGAATAAAAAACGTTACCTAAATATTTCAATATAAACTTTGGAATAGGTAACATAAATTTTCTCAATGTTGCATAAAGCTTGCAGATAGATTTTATTTGCAATATGCTGTCTTTGTCTCTGTCATGCAAAAATATATTTGACTGACAAAGACGGGATAATTATTGGGGAATTTGGAACGGCGCAGACGCACCACCCATTTGTTGTTGTCTGTTGACCTGTTGACGCCACGCCACCAAAAGCCAGGAGGCTAGGACGAAAGACGCAGACGACGCTTCTTTTTTTTGGCTTGATAAATAATACAAGAGAATTGAACAGGACGAAAGGGTTCATCAAGATCTTGAGATGTTGGGAGAGGAAGAGAATAAAGCCAATATTGTAAGATTTTAACATTTTAATTTTTTGTGATATTTTAATACTGTTTAATTTTTAATTTTAGGTGGCTTTTTTACAATACCTATGTTGGAGGAATCGAGGCATGTGTGATAAGATCAATTGAAAATTGGAAGTTTATTAATTAACCATTGTGCCCGGTCTGGAGTTGGACTGGCAGAAAAGGGAATTTGAAAATTAAGAATCTTGCATTAATGCAAATCCTTACGACATATTAAATATCTATCATATATACAATATTTCATTATGTAAATTTCTGTAAAGTACCAATAAAAATATTGCAACTGTAATATTTATCTAAGTTCATAAACAACGTTAAATGCAGGTTTCTGTAAGCTAGCATTTTTAATGTTACAAACGTAATCTATTTTTTATGAAAATATAAGTTTGAGGCGATATTGCAGAAAAGTTTATTCTATAAACATTGCATTTGTGAATATTAGAATAAGTCCGTTTCAGTAATTGCAGCAACCTTGCACTTATATAGCAGCAATAAAAAATGAAATATTACAATATTATCTAGAAACATTACTAAAATATTAAAGCGATATTACATTGCTTAGTGGGATAATCCCGAGCATAAGACCATTATGTCGTTCATAATTAACTACCCATACCATTTCCAAATCCAAGCGGCAGTAAATGACAAACTAGTCATTCTCATTACAACCCATCAAATGTCCTCCGTGCATGCGCAGGTCCAGGTAGGGCGTTTCAACCAATAGGAAGGCTGGTGTTTGTTCACAATTTAGGTAATTAAATGTCATTTACTGCCGCTTGAATTTGGAAATGGTGTAGGTATACTCATTTTCTAGTATGTGCGTCTAAATTTTTAGATGTTTCTACCCAATAAGCATGGGTTTGAAGAAGGTTGCTCTACCTGCTTTTTACTAATACCTACCTACCTACCCTTCATGTGAATTTTTTTCCGAAAGCATATCCATGCTCACCTCTAGCCAGAAATCAACTTTTACAAACCCTTTTCCATCATTAACAAATTAAACAATAATTAGGTACCTAACTATTAAATTTATTGTTATTTTTCTTTTAAGTGGTTCATGGGAAATAAAACACGAGTATAATTTTTATGTATCTGTATTCCATATTCCATACCTACCAGTTTCTCTAAATACATCCCAAGTAGTATTTTGACGACGATAACCACATAATACACCAAAATCAACGTTGTACTCAGTGTAGAGTTTAGGCATTTAAGAAACGATGCTGTCTAAACCACTGGACAACGTCGTCTTAGTGTTGCGCAGGACTTTAGTTAAACTACGACGTTGTAATAACTTTTACGCAACCGACTACAATAAGTTAATATTTTGGGAATGGTAATAACGTTCTGACAACGTTAACGTGACAACTTAAGTTATGTTAAACGTTTTCTCGACGGAGATCTGACCTTGTAAGACTTAACTAAGCAGTAGTCAGTTTTTCAGTTAAATTGAAAACGTTTCCGCGGAGTCACCTTTTCAACTAACCTTTTCTCAAATACAACCTCAAAAGTCGTTCAAGATCATCAGACCATCAAATTAAAAATGAAACAAGCCTTGAACCTTCAGGTAAACTGCCTCATATTGACAAAAAAAAAATTATGTCATGAAGAAAATTCAGGGGCACAAGCCTACATGAAGACAGACATACGAGAACTTAAGTTTAAATTCTTCAGGAACAAATGCCAACCCGAAGGCGAATCTGAATAAAGAAGTGATATAAGTAGGAGGGGAAGCAACTAATTTTCCAGAGGAACAATAGTTGATGCAGGATAAGCAACTCGATCATGAGGCATGGCTTGATCAAATGTAACCGAGGAAATAACTCAATAATGAAGAAGAGATCAATCCAGACTAGACTAGACTAGACTAGAAGAAAAAAAATAATAATAATACGGCAACTGAATGGCACGGAGAGGCACGTAGGCGCGATCGAAAAGTGTATATTTTGGAGTGTTCGTAAGTGAAACTCAGTTCAGTTTTTGGTCCGATAAGCAACTCCAGTCAGGGAAAAAAGTTATTTCTCTAGAAGACCAATGTTGAAAGTTAGTATATTTTTTAGTTATCTGATATCCAAAGTCGCGTTGACGCCTATTATACCCCTTCGCCATGTTGAAAGTGTATTCTGTTTGGAAACATGGTACCGGCCATTGAAATTTGGTGCACTAACAGGTATAAACAAAGGATTCTAAAGCGTTTTTCAGTTTTCTAGGAACCATTCATATGCCTCCCGTATAGCTCGCGTTTGAAGCGATATCAACGTCAAATATTGGTTATCTAATTTTTTTTTTCAATTTTTATTTTCATTTTTGAGTTTTGAGAAATTTGCAACGGATTGGAGGCGCGCATGTTTTTTGGCATAAATCCATAGTACATTTATCAGTAAGGTGATATGCGTTGCTGATTTCTGTTTGTGTATCGTCTTTTTTCGGCAATATAAATAAGGTATTTGAAGCCTAAGTTGAAACACATTTAGTTGAAAGATGGTTGAAAGAAAGTGTTCATTTTGACCATCAGTGAATATTTGGTTGAAAAATTTACCATTTCCTAAACACAACAAAAAGTAAATTCTCATCGCCATGAGAGAGGGCGCAGGTGTGTAGTTGTTTAAAAGTAAATTCAGCAACGTTTAGGAAACGACCGTTACCAACTGCTACCTACAGTTGAGACTGGAACGTTTCGAAAACTCAGAAATGATTGACCAAACCGGTGCAAAACAAGGTTGTGACAACATTGTAACAAGGTCCTTTACGCAACTTCTGTTTGGTTGCGCAACTTTTTCAAACACGTCGCCGCAACGTTAAATAGTTGCTTGGGATACAACTGCTTTTTATATTTTCACAGGCAAAAACATCCTTTTTCTTTTACACTGCCCCAGCCTGCTTTTTTTGTTTTTAATTATTGTTTATTTTGTTTGTGATGGCAGGGAAAAAGTGTTTGTAAAAGACATTGTGATAGGTTATTTGGTCAGGGGTCACTGAC